CTACCTCCTACGCACCAGTGAAAGAAGTCCCAGCCTATCTAGCCTCTGCTTATAATTCAAACTCTCCAGTCTTGGCAACAAATTTGTAAATCTTTTCTGAACCCTCTCCAATTTAAACGTATCCTTCCTATGGCAGGGCGACCAGAACTGTACACAGTACCTGGTCAATATTCAGGCCTGAGTTGTAAAGTGACAAGTAACATTTGTGTGCCAAGCACTGACCATCTCCAAGAAGACAGAATCTAACCATCATCGCTTGATATTCAATGGTGTTGTCATCATTGAATCCCACAATCAATATCCTGGGAGTTACCATTGACTAGAAATTGAACCAGACCAGCCATGTAAAAACAGAGGCTATAAAAGCACGATAAAGGCTAGGAATACTGCAGCAAGTAATTCAACTGACCTCCTGACTTCTCAAAACCTGTTCACCATCTAAAATGTACAAGTCAGAAGAGTGATGGAATACTCCCTGTTTGCCTGATGGGTGTAGCTCCAACAACACGTTAGAAGCTTGACACCATCCAGAACAAAGCAGCCAGCTTGATTGGCACCACATCCACAAACATTTGCTCTCCACTACCGACATTCAGTATCAGCAGTGTGTACTATCTACAGGATGCACAGCAGAAATTCACCAAAGATCCTTAGACATGCCTTCCAAACCCATGATCATTTCCAACTAGAAGGACAAAGCAGCAGATACATGGGAACGCTATCACCTGCAGGATCTCCTCCAAGCCACTCACAGTCAGACAGACCTTTCAGTCCAACCAGACCATGCCAACTATAATCCCAAACTAAACTAGTCCCACCTGCCTGTGCTTGGCCCATAACCCTCCAAACATTTCTTATTCATTTTTTATCCAAATGTCTTTTAAACATTGTAACTGTACGCACATTCACCACTCCTCTGGAAGTTCATTCCACACACGAACTACTCTCTGCGTAAAAAAATTGCCCCTCATGTTTTTTTAAATTTTTTTCCACTCACCTTAAAAGTATGCCCCCTAGTCTTTAAATCCCCCACCCTAGGGAAAAGACACTTGCTATTCACCTTATCTACACCCCTCATGATTTTATAAACCTCTTTAAGGGCAGCCCTCAACCTTCTATGCTCCGGTGAGAAAAGTCTCAGCCTATCCAGCCTCTCCTTATCATTCAAACCCTCCACTCCCGGCAACATCCAGGTATATCTCTTCTGATCTCTCTGCAGCCTAATATTATTGTTCCTAATAACAGGGCGATGAGAACCAAACTCAGTACTCCAGAAGAGGCCTCACCAACGTCCCATACAACCGCAATATAACGTCTTAACAGCTATACTCAAAGATCTGAACAATGAAGGCAAACGTGCTAAACGCATTCTTAACCACCCTATCTGTGATGCAAACTTCAAAGAATTATATACCTGAACCCCTAAGTCTCTCTGATTTACAACACTACCCAAGGCCCTACTTTTAATTGTAGAAGTCCTGCCCTTGTTTCTTTAACCAAAATGCAATACTTCGCATTTATCCAAATTAAACTCCATCTGCCACTCTTAAATCTGCCACCAATTGACCCAATTGATCAAAATCTCTTTGTAATCTTAGAAAACTTTCTTCACTGTCCACTATACCATCAAACTTGGTGTCATCTGCAAACCTTCTAACCATGCCTTCTTTATTCTCATCTAAATTATTTATAGAAATGACAAACAAAAGTGGACACAGCACCGATCCCTGTGGAACACTGCTGGTCACAGGTCTCCAGTCCAAAAAATAACACTCCACCATCATTCTCTGACAACTGCCACTAAGCCAATTTTGTATCTAACTGGCAAGCTCACCCTGAATCTCATGTGATCTAACTTTACTAATTAGCCTACCATGTGGGACCTTGTCAAAAGCTTTACTAAAGTCATAGCAAACAATATCTACTGCTCTGCCCTCATCAATCTTCTTGGTTGCTTCCTCAAAAAACTCAATCAAATTTGTGAAACACGATTTCCTTCACATAAAACCATGCTGACTATTCCTAATCATTCCTTGCCTTTCCAAATACATATAAGCAAACAAAACAGAAATTGCTGGAAAAGCTCTGCAGGTCTGGCAGCATCTGTGACGGAAAAAACAGAGTTAACGTTTCGGGTCCAGTGACCCTTCCTCAGAACCAGACCCGAAACATTAACTCTGTTTTTTTCCTTCACAGATGCTGCCAGACCTGCTGAGCTTTTCCAGCTGTTTCTGATTTGTTTCCTGATCTACAGCATCCGCAGTTCTTTCGTTTTTTTTATTTCAAATGTTATCAAATGCTATAAATCCTATCTTTCAGAATCACTTCCAACAACCTACTCACTACCAAAGTCATACTCACAGGTCTAGTTCCCAGGCTTCTCCTTACATTCTTTCTTAAACAAAGGCACAACATTAGCTACTCTCCAGTCATTTAGCACCTCACCTAAAGTTATAGATGATACAAATACTTCTGCAAGGGGCCCACAGTTACATCCATAATCTCCCACAAAGTCCTGGGATATACTAGATCAGGTCCTAGAGATTTATCCACCTTTGTTTTTTCTAAGACTTCCAACACTTCCTCTTCTGTCTTGTGAATTGTTCTCAAAACATCAGTATTTATTTCCCTGAGTTTTTTAGCCTCCATTTCTTTCTTCATAGTAAAAACTGGCACAAAATATTTATTTAATATGTCTCCCATCTGCTGAGGTTCAACACAAGGACAAACTCTTTGATCTTTAAGGGGACCTACTCTCCCTCTAGTTGCTCTCTTGTTCTTAACGTATTTATAGAATCGCTTTGGAATATCACCATCTTGACTTGAAAATATATTGTCCTTTCTTCATTGTCACTGTGCCAAAAACCTGAAACACCCTTGCTAGAAGCATTGTGAATCTGTTTAAATTTAAACTTAAATTGTCTGGAACTATTTCTGATTTCAGTACATCCTAAGTGAACTTTTACTACATATATAAGTTTTTTTTCATGTCTGAACATGAAAGGTGTTCTTGTTCTACAATAGTAATATTTATGTTTTGTTTGGATTAAGTGCCGGTTATGTCAACATTTTTGGAGTGTTTTTTGCCTCAAGGCCTACTGAGATTTCATCATATTGTTGTAGCCATTTTCCAGTAGCACTTTGTATCTACAAAAGTGAAAATGATGCCAGTTTGTGGCGGACACTGTCACCACTGGACTCCGCCTGATTGCCAAGTATCGACCCAGAGCCTGCATGTCCCCTATTTCCTCACACTATGCCAACAGCCCATTTCCACCCATCCCTCTGCTACACTGAACTTAGCCTCCAACTTTCCATCCTGCACCTGAGCCCCAACATTACAAGCACGCAGGTAGGTGCTAAGTGAGTGAGCATTAAGACAATGAAACAGCTGAGCAGCCCTGAGATGTAACTTGGTCCAATCCAACAACTGAGGGCCTTTCAGCAACCTTTCAATGCTGGTTGCTGGTGTGCCTTACAGTGTACATCTGTGCCTCCTAAACATTGTGCAAGTGGATCAGAGAGGTGCCATGATGATTGTGAAGCTTTGGAATATGTCAGATTCCAATATCCATGGTCAAGGGGTGCCTATGGATCATGCCTGAGATGCATTTTTGTGCTTGGCAATATAAAGGCTCCTCACAGCCAGCGAAAAGTTGAAGTCATCCACTTCGACCCTGATATTGAGAATTTCCATCATCTCATTTCTTGGTCGCATTTGGTAAGATAGGAAGCTGAACGTTAACCAGGCAAGTTATGCTATTAATAAGGTGCTTAATGAGCTATAATCCCCCTTAATTGGCAGCTTGCTATTGCCTTGTGAGAAACTCACCTCGCCACCCACCAGATGCACAAACATTGTAGAAAACTGCTACTAACATTGACTTAGACCTCATCAGATTTCTCCCAGTGACTCTAATCTTACCATAGCCCATATTGTTCAGGCAACCCCAAAACACCATGGTAGTGGTGTTAGAGACAGGGGTTTGGTTTGGGGGCTGAGGATGGGACACGGAAAATGGGAAATAGGTGTCGTGGTTGGGAATGGGGTTTTAGGGTCAAGGATCAGAGTTTGGGTTGGGGAAGATGATGGATGTGAGGCTTGCATTGGGGGTGGTGAAGATCAGTTTGGGGTTAGTTATCGGTTCTATGAATGGAGGATGTAGTTGGGGATGTTGATCTGGGGTCAGGGATGTGGGTATGAGATTGTGGATACAGGTTCAGGAATGAGGGTTTGGGGTTCAGGGATGGGTTTGGGATTAAGGATGGGTCAAGTTTGGGAATGGGATGAAGTGAGAACAGAGAAAGGGGCAGCACAGTGGTTAGCACTGCTGGCTCATAGCGCTAGGGACCCAGGTTCAATTCCGGCCTTCGGTGACTGTCTGTGTGGAGTTTGCACATTCTCCCCATGTCTGCGTGGGTTTCCTCCGGGTGCTTTGGTTTCCTCCCACAGTCCAAAGATATGCAGGGTCTAGGCTCGAAACGTCAGCCTTCCTGCTCCTCTGATGCTGCTTGGCTTGCTGTGTTCATCCAGCTCTACACCTTGTTATCTCAGGGTAGGTGGATTGGCTATGCTAAAATTGCCCATAGTGTCCAGGGATGTTTAAGTTACGTGCGTTCGACATGGGGAAATCAGGGATAGGAGAATGGGTCTGGGTGGGATGCTTTTCAGGGGGGCAGTGTGGACTTGTTGGACTGAATGGCCTGTTTCCACACTGTATGGATTCTATGATTCTATGTGGGATTGGGAATGGAAGTTCAGGGATGGTGGTTCCAAGATGAGAATGGGGTGCAAATGAGGGCTGTAGGAGTGACGGGGATGGTAGTGATCACTAGGCATGGGACCAACACTACCGGTCAATTTGAATTTTACTGTGACCTGTGTGCGCATGCGGGTTACCCTCCGTGGCGGTTGGGTTGTACCACTCCGCCCGGGAGCAAAGGGCGGGGGTAGGGAGGGACGTTTGCGACGTTTGGACGGACTTAAACCGCGAGGGGGGGGGAAGGTCTCAGTAATTGGGTTGTGATCTCCCATCAGATCTGCTTGCACCTGCATCAGGGTGCTTGTTGCAGTTGAGTGACCCCGAACCCACCAATTTCCTCCTCGCCACTCCCAAGTCGATTAGTGCGTCCCGGGAGTGGACCCGTGCCCGCGGCGGACACTTCAGGAAACCCCGGGGGTTGGGGTAGAGCTCCTTCATTCCTGACACGGGGGACGGCCACCTTATCCATCACCATCACCATCACCATCACCGTGACCCGCTACCATGGTGTCTCGACGGGCCCCGCTCATCTTCCATCTGCCTGTGTTCCTTTGGTATCTTTTCGTCCTTCACCAGGACACGCTGCTGACCGGCGGAGGGCGCCTCCTCGGTGCCGGCACTTATGGAGGCCGCTGGAAGTACCTGACCTTCATCAATATGGTAAAAAGTCTAGAGCTGGGGGGGACTAGTGTTAGAGTGCAGACCGGGGGCTTCACCTTCACCAGAAACTTTTATAGCATAAACCGAATTTGCTGCAAAAAAAAACTGCCCGCAAAGTAAAACTTAGGTGCATGTGTCAATAATAAAGCAAATCAAATCAGGTCTGGTAGTATCTGTAGGGAAAAGTCAGAGTTAAGGTTTCGGGTCCAGTGACCCTCGATTTTTGTTTTTTGTTTTTGTTTTTGTTTCGGATTTCCTGCACCCGCAGTGTTTTTTTTTCTTGTTTAGATGTGTTTGGGAGGGGGGTACAGTGTAAAAGCGGTTTCAGTTTAAAAGGGTCGAGAGAGCTTTACTGTATCTAACCCTGTGTTGTACCCATCCTGGGAATGTTTCGGAAATGGCTGAAATGGGGAAAGTGTCTTGTAATTTGTGGCTAATCCAGGCTGACGCAACGACAGCATTGGAAAACAAAAAAAAAACCTTTAGTTTTTAAAGGATCTTGAATATGCTGCTTGAGAATGTGAAGGAGGCAGGTTCAACTGCGGCATTGAATCGAGCCTTTCTGCATTTGGAGAATGTGAAGTGTCACGGGGAGAAACCAGAGCAACGACAACCAGATTGTTCCAGAAGAGTGAACAGGGACGTGGGTTGAATGGCCTCCTGTGTTGGATTAGTTTCTGAAGAATTTAGTTGTAAAGGGTGTTTCTGGGTACTGTGGGAACTTGAACAGTCGGACCCTGACTGAAGAGTAGGAGAATTCTCCTCCCGTGTCTTAGCCAATGTCAGACTATGTAAACAGATTATCTAGTCGTTTTTCAGTGCCGTTATTGGAAACTTGGTGTGTGCAAATTGTCTGCTGTCTTTCCATACCATAAATAATCGGAGCTGTTGTTTCTATTGCTTTCTTGCTGTTCCCTCTCATGCACCTGAGCTGTTCTCTTGACCAACCTCCACCCCTTTGCTTGCCAGCCCACCCACATCTATCTTTCTCTCTGTGCAGCTACTTTCCTTTGTCACCAAGGTTCTTTCGTGTGAACCACTTATGATTTGAGGTGGGGAGGGGAGGGGAGATGAACGGATTCCTTTCTAGTCCCACTCCTCCACTGATCACATTTTAAAATTTAACCAGGGTGGCCAATTAGAAACAGCTGTAGACTTTCTCGTTTACAAACAAGTCAGCCAGGATTTTTAAACAAAGAAAAACAACTTTTTGTTGTAAAAAGAACTTAGACAAATACACATGGAAAGATTAACAACATAGGTATGACTTGTGTTCTTACATACCAGAGTTAACACAGGGTAAATATGGGTAAATGACCAACTCTGGCCAAAGACTCCACAGAACACAGCAAAAAGCAGTTGCAGTTAGAAAGATCTTGTGGGTTTCTCACCTGTGCCCCTCCTCCAGACTTTAGTGATACTGTGGGGCCTGGGTATAAAAAAAATTGATGCTACGGGTAACCAAATCTCATTGAAGCTTCAACGGCTGCAAGGAAGTTTGAAACTTCCTTGAGCTACTGCTAGTTTACTGTCCCTTCCTTGGACTACAGTTCCCTGGATTCTAGAAATTGCAGTCTTGCATTTACTTGTAGCACAACTACAGCTTTTTGAAGACACCAAGGCAGCACTGTCCTTGTTTGTTTCTGGAGTTCTAATCTGGTTCAGTTGTACCAAGCAATTATTACTTGACAGTTTCTAAACACTCCTCCCCATCCCAATTCCCTCGCTCTTTTCGAACCTAAACTTGAACACTTTCATACCTATTCACTCCTAGAACTACTTCCTGAATCCTAACTGCTCACAACTATCCAATTGTTCTTAAGTCCGAAAAGCTTAGAACCAAGGCAATTCAAGTGTCGTCTCAATAGAACAGCATAACTTATTTTCTACATGAAACTTGTTCCTGTCTTTTCTGATGAACTATCTTTTGGTGACCCTTGAACCTTTATGGATGATCTTTTTCAAACCTTGCAACAAACAGCACCCAAATGCTAAGCAGAATCAAATATAGCGTGAAGTGTCAGTGGATTAATAATTGAGTACCCCAGCTCAAGTTTTAAGGAGATAACAAGGTGGAGAGCTGGATGAACACAGCAGGCCAAGCAGCATCAGAGGAGCAGGAAGGCTGACGTTTCGGGCCTAGACCCTTCTTCAGAAATGGGGGAGGGGTAGGGGGTTCTGAAATAATTAGGGAGAGAGGGGGAGGCGGATAGAGGAGAAGATAGGTGGAGAGGAGACAGACAGGTCAAAGAGGCGGAGATGGAGCCAGTAAAGGTGAGTGTAGGTGGGGAGTTAGGGAGGAGATAGGTCAGTCCAGGGAGGACGGATAGGTCAAGGGGGCGGAATGAGGTTAGTAGGTAGGAGATGGGAGTGGGACTTGAGGTGGGAGGAAGGACAGG